TAATATTAATGCAATCCTTTAAATGAATTTCTTTTAATTCAATCAATTGATTACAATTTAATAATTGTATTAAGTGTTGACTACATATATCAGTATCGCTGAAGTTTAGTCTCTTGAGATGTGAACCAAATTTATTAATAAAATCGTTAATTATAGCGAAAGTTAACGCATAATGAGTGGCATTAGACCAGTGGTCGACACAATCGTTGCCATAATATCGTCTAATAATCTGAAAGTGAAATGTGATCCTAGATTTGGAGACATTCAGCTCTTCGAGGGAATGGCAGTGAGAGAAGAGCCGAACAAACAAAGCGTCACATAATTTGAATGATTTTTTGCCGCTTAAGTCCAAGATTTTGAGTTTAGACAAACTGTGGACAACACTGGGTATCGATTGACTGGTATTCGCACCCAAATGATAGTAATTGTCATTGAGATGTAATTCGGCTAAAGAGCTGATCCGCGACAGGATATTCAATAAAATGGCTTCAGTTACGGAACAGTCAACGATCTCAAGACATGTGACAGTGGATCCCAAACGAGTCCATTGATCGTAAAACATAGCATAATTGAGAGGAATCTTTTGAATCAAAATGTGTGAAACAGTGGTAAAGCTATTGGACAACACATCCAAAGCACTTTGATATATGAATTCTTTGGACACGTGTTGGTCATGCCTTTCATGCCATTCTTGGGCCTCATTGTCGGCGATGTGACCACGAATTGCGAACCGGTATTCAGTGCTCTTAAGAGTGGTGTTGCGGTTGAAGACCAGTGAATGCCATCGACGACACACACGACTGGCCACGAGTTGGTCCGTCCATCGCATGCCATACAATATCTTCTCGAGTATTTCGTCGGGAAATTCATTCAACGATTTCATTGTAATTCACTTTTCATTCAATTTTCAAAACAATTCAATGTTTTGTTTATTTTGAGCCAATCCTTGGGTTTTAAATTTAAAGCACGAATTGTTGACTCATTTGTACGTAAATTACGTTCGCATTCAAAATGACTCCAAAATTAATTTATGTCTCGATTTTGTGCTCAAATTCAATGGTTTTTGCGTTTAGTTTGCGATAAAACCCCAAAAATCCAAATCTGGACGTAATTTATGTGAACTCGTATTCACACGTTTTGGTCAAAACACATGTGTTTTAAATTTGATTTGAAAGTTGTGTTGAATTATGGACTCAATTAAAGAGACGAAGACATCGGCGGACGACCGCAAGGACGTAATTTATGTGAACTCGTATTCACACGTTTTGGTCAAAACACATGTGTTTTAAATTTGATTTGAAAGTTGTGTTGAATTATGGACTCAATTAAAGAGACGAAGACATCGGCGGTGCTGGCGTTTCCACACTTCGCAGCTGCGCTACGGCTGGTTGCCTAAAACCTAGTCAAAACCCACTAGACGCTGGGTTTGCTGTGCTTTGCGTTGTTCTCAAACTTTGATTAGCAACTTTATGAACACAAACAAAATGTATGTTTCAATTGATTGTGAATTTTAATGTTTTGAACGCAAATTTGTTGCAACTCTTGTTGTTATCCTTAGGACACGAATGGATCCAATGATGTGATGTATTGTTTGGATCGAGTCATCCGCGGTATGGCTTCCGCGCGACAGTTCGCCAGACATGGCTTTTGCGTCCTTTTGACTCAAGTATTGATTTCAGGTCTTAATTATGTCTGTAATCGTGACATCCATTTGATCTCTCATTTAGCTGTTGATGACATTTGAGGAGAAGATATCGCTTGAAGTGGTGTTTGAATTGTCTGAAAAGCATTTGCAGAAAATCAAAGACGTCTCGAACCACGACTCAGTGATCGGTTGGTCTCTCGTCATGGCGTCGGTCATCAAAAGCGGTCGTTTGAGAGCCGATACCTCGCTTCTACAAACCCTATACCGAAAGTTACACAACATAAGCAACCCTTACTCATTTGTTATGTAACTTAATCAACAAACGCTAGAGAAGTGTGTTAAGTACCGAAATAATTTGTTTTTCCGAAACATTGACAAAATTGTTTGGACTAGACTTGAGACTGACCTCAAGACCGCCAACCGATTCAAACCATTTTTAAATTAGTTGTTTGCGATCTCTTCACACAATTCATGGCTTTATTAAACAAAAAGGCTTTGTTTGACAAAATTGTTTGGACTAGACTTGAGACTGACCTCAAGACCGCCAACCGATTCAAACCATTTTTTATTTTTGTTTGTCTCTTCATTTCTGATGAATTTCCTGTGAGTTTTTAGATATTATAAATCTATGAAACCTTTGATTTATTTATAAATTTTAAATACTTTTAATTAGAAATATTGTGAAAAAAGAGGAGAAATTAATTTCATCGTAAAGTCTGACGAATTGCACAGACTTTCCCTAATAATTAAGGTATAAGTGGTATAATTGACTCGTTTTTATGGACTCTTATTAAACATAATTTACGATATTATTCAGGAATCGACTGCTTATCAGCCATTAGTTCATCCAATGAACAAACAGATTGTGAAACACTTTCTAAATAATAAAACTGATTTCACAAAGTTTTGGAGTACTTGTGTTGAGGGTATGATTATTTGCTTTTCATTTGAATGGCTTTACATTTGCATTACAAATACGGCTGTCTTTAGAAGCGCTCTTCACACCGAATCAGATCGAAAAGGGATCGCTTGGCTTCGAGTTAATCAAAATATGTTTCCCATTGATTACATCAAAAGATACCGTAATATATTTGGTTGTATTTTAATGGACATTAACTTTACGTTATGTTATTTTCTAATTACAGGTATCATCAGTACTCTCGCCACCATTTCTTCGTCTTTTCATTCAATCCCTGTCCGTCAAGAGTCATCCGCTCCATACATCTGCTCAACAATTGGTGATTAGATTTTATTGTTTTGTTTGCATTTGTCTTAAATTTTTAATAATTTTCTTTTTGACAATTAGTGCCAATTCTTTATTGAATTTACTAAAAATGTTGAGAACTCTGAACTCCAGTTGGAAATTGTAAATAGTTTTACAAAACAGTGAGTTTTTTTATTGCAAGTTATTATAAATTAACTTAAAATTGATTTCATTAAAGGCCGGGTTCTCTACTCTTTGATGGCATTTCAAAATCAAAGTTTTTTGGAAATTTGTGCAAAACTGTAGGTGTTATGAATAATTTAAATGTTTTTCATTTTATAATANCTTTTTGTACTAATTTTGAGATACAAAGAAAGAAAGAAAGAAAGAAAGAGAGAGAGAGAGAGAGAGAGAGAAAGAGAGACCAACACAATTTGTTAGTAAATAATAAATTTGATTTTATTTAAAATTAATTTTCAAAAACTCTTTATATTTTTAAAAACAAAATTAAGACGAAATAATTTTTCTCATAATTTGTTTACAATTATTCAAATACTTCTTCTTCTGTTTAGAGAGTGACTTCAGTTTCGTCGACAGATCCTGAATCTCGTTGTGAGAAATCTTACACAAAAAAAAACATTATTATAATAATTAAAACATTTAAATTTAATTAATTGATACCTTTTGGTCAGCCTTTCTGTCCTTCAATTGTTTGTCACACAAATCATAGAGTCTTAAGAGTTCGCTAATGTATTGTGACTTCAGTTTTTCGTTATTTAATTCACTGCATAAGACTGTTAAACATTTCTGTCTCACTTCAGACAAGTGGTCGTCAGAAATATCAATGGTTTTGTGTTTAGAATTCTGTGTTTTACATAATGTAAGCAACACTTCAATGGCCACAGACTTCTTAAAGGCACGAATCTCTTCACGGAATGCATAGTCAATGAATACATCAAATAATTTAAATCCAATTTCCTGTCACATACAAAATAAGACAAATTGATAAACCAATACCACAATCAAGTCAAATAGACTTACGTTATGAACAACAATAAGAGTTTTGAATAGATTGTCGTTAATTTGAGAATTACTAAAATAGATGTAAATGTATTAATAAACAACTTTATAATAAAATACTATTTTTAATATCATTCAAATATTTACTTCTTCTTAAAGAATACTTGCAGTCCATTCTCAATGACTTCTATATACCAGTAGTCTTGAGGGAAAAATCGTTTACTCATTTGAATCTGAATTAAAACAAAATATGTGACAAAACATAAGACAATAAACCAAAACAACTTACAGTCCAAATGAAGAGTGAATTTAAAGCTCGTTGTAGTTCTAAATAATTGCTTTTATTTAAAATAGTTAATAAAAACTCCAGAAGTTGTTTCAAATCATTCACTACAAGTGATTCGTCGGTTTTGTCTTTGATTTTGGATATTTGAATAATCAATTGCACGGCTTTTGATGACAACTGATTTTGTTTCGAAGGTTGATATGAACTCTTGGCCACAGACACTATCGGTTGAATCAAACGTACGATTTGATCCATATTTACTGATTTCGAGTTCAGATATATTTGGATCAATTCTAGACATCTGTTTAAAATGTAGATAAGTTTATAGATTATTATTGTTTAACGGAATCTTATTAATAAAACAAATAAAAATTAAACAATAATTACCTTGTTCTAAACATAAGAATAGAGTTCTGTTTCTCATTTAATTCCTTTTTATTGGCAAATTTGGATTTGAAAACGGCGGCCAAAGTCTCGTCAATTTGAAACATCTCGCTGTCACTCAAATATATGGACTCCTGTTAAGAGAGACAAACGTTTGATTCAAACCATACATTTAAAAATCAATAAATATAAAGACCTCTTCGTCGTCGTTCTCAGCGGCCGCTCCCAAAGCGTTGATCACATCGTTTCTGAACTTTTCGTCCACTTCTCCGGTTTGGTTCTCTTCTTCTGATTCAGATTCTGAATCGCTTTCCGATTTATTCTCTTCTTCTTCGTCCTCTTCCTCGTCTTCGCCTTCATCTGAGTCTATATTTCCATCAAACAGTTTATTATCATTGGATGGATTGATAGCATCCACTAAATAATTAACTCCAGAGTTGGTTATGTGACCGCAAATATGCTTAAAACACGATAACAACATATTTTTGGTCAGTTTTGAATTCTTGGTTAACATTGAAAGAATTAAATCAATCAAAACGTCGGCCCAAACGGGCGAGTCTTCTCCGCTTTCCTCCTCCTCCTGGCCATCAATCGCTCGTTTCATACATTCATTTAAATCCTTTAAAACGTCGTCAATGTCTTCAAACTCTTCGAAGAGCTGAATGGCAACCATTGAATACAACAAAACAAAAATCCTTATTTCGTTCTCCTTTTCACAATTACTTTTAAGCTTTTTATTCAGTTTCGAGACTTTCTTTGCGATAGTTTTAAACGGATCTAAAAACTAAAAAAATATTGCAATTAATAAAATGTTCACAGAATACAACTATTAACACATACTCTGGAATCAGGCAAACAAGTGGTCATATTTTGATTTGCAAACAAACCACTAATAAACTCAAGCATTGAGGACAAGATCTGGACTTCGGTTAACAGTCTTTCTTTCGTAGTTTTAGAGCCCAAATGCGTCATGTGATTGAAAGCGCTTCTAAAACTGTGTCGCAATGTATTTCTTAAGCTTTCACTGATAGGAACGGCAGGTTTTCTCTGTACATAACAATCCATAATTAAATTCAAAAACATAAGTATAAACTTTAATTTGGAAAATACATACGATATCGTCGTTTGTTGACTCTAAGCCTTCGTTTACGTCAAAATACGAATAAATAAATAGAAATCTAATGTTTGACCACAAAGTCTCGATGTCATCAACTGATGCTATAGATCGACACACATCCGAAATCTACAAAACATAATATTTGTAGATTAAAAACCATATTAATTCAATTTCAATACCTGTTGAATACAGCGATTTCTAAATAAATCGTTTGAATCCACTTTAGTAGTGGTCAGGAAAATGTCTCTTAATTTTTGGGTCCATTTCTTGATTGATTTGCTGTTAAGCTGTAATTCAAAACAAAAAATATTATAAAATGAAAAACATTTAAATTATTCATAACACCTACAGTTTTGCACAAATTTCCAAAAAACTTTGATTTTGAAATGCCATCAAAGAGTAGAGAACCCGGCCTTTAATGAAATCAATTTTAAGTTAATTTATAATAACTTGCAATAAAAAAACTCACTGTTTTGTAAAACTATTTACAATTTCCAACTGGAGTTCAGAGTTCTCAACATTTTTAGTAAATTCAATAAAGAATTGGCACTAATTGTCAAAAAGAAAATTATTAAAAATTTAAGACAAATGCAAACAAAACAATAAAATCTAATCACCAATTGTTGAGCAGATGTATGGAGCGGATGACTCTTGACGGACAGGGATTGAATGAAAAGACGAAGAAATGGTGGCGAGAGTACTGATGATACCTGTAATTAGAAAATAACATAACGTAAAGTTAATGTCCATTAAAATACAACCAAATATATTACGGTATCTTTTGATGTAATCAATGGGAAACATATTTTGATTAACTCGAAGCCAAGCGATCCCTTTTCGATCTGATTCGGTGTGAAGAGCGCTTCTAAAGACAATCGTATTTGTACTGCAAATGTAAAGCAATTCAAATGAAAAGCAAATAATCATACCCTCAACACAAGTACTCCAAAACTTTGTGAAATCAGTTTTATTAGTTAGAAAGTGTTTCACAATCTGTTTGTTCATTGGATGAACTAATGGCTGATAAGCAGTCGATTCCTAAATAATATCGTAAATTATGTTTAATAAGAGTCCGTAAAAATGAGCCAATTATAGCACTTATACCTTAATTATTAGGGAAAGTCTGTGCAATTCGTCCGACTTTACGATGAAATTAATTTCTCCTCTTTTTTCACAATATTTCTAATTAAAAAGTATTTAAAAATTTACAAATAAATCAAAGGTTTCATAGATTTATAATATCTAAAAACTCACAGGAAATTCATCAGAAATGAAGAGACAAACAAAAATGAAAAATGGTTTGAATCGGTTGGCGGTCTTGAGGTCAGTCTCAAGTCTAGTCCAAACAATTTTGTCAAACAAAGCCTTTTTGTTTAATAAAGCCATGAATTGTGTGAAGAGATCGCAAACAACTAATTCAATGTATTGTTTACTCATTCCCAACGAATACAACACATTGAAAGCCATATCCCAAACATCTTCGCTCGTATCGGCTTTCAAACGACCGCTTTTGATGACTGACGCCATGACGAGAGACCAACCGATCACTGAGTCGTGGTTTGAGACGTCTTTGATTTTCTGCAAATGCTTTTCAGACAATTCAAACACCACTTCAAGCGATATCTTCTCCTCAAACGTCATCAACAGCTAAATGAGAGATCAAATCCGTGTCGCGATTACAGACATAATTAAGACCTAAACTGAAAATCAATACTTGAGTCAAAAGGACGCAAAAGCCATGTCTGGCGAACTGTCGGGCGGAAGCCATACCGCGGATGACTCGATCCAAACAATACATCACATCATTGGATCCATTCGTGTCCTGAGGATAACAACAAGAGTTGCAACAAATTAGTGTTCAAAACATTAAAATTCACAATCAATTGAAACATACATTTTGTTTCACAAGTATTTCAACGATTAGTTTCAAACTCTTGTTGCGTTTCGTGTCGTTTGGGTCGCAGATCACCCAAAACTGATCCAAAATCCGTTGGTCGGCATCGCGTCGACGCTTCACACCTTTGCGGTCGTATGCGGTCGTCCGCCGATGTCTTCGTCTCTTTAATTGAGTCCATAATTCAACACAACTTTCAAATCAAATTTAAAACACATGTGTTTTGACCAAAACGTGTGAATACGAGTTCACATAAATTACGTCCGGATTTGTATTTTTGGGGTTTTATCGCAAACTAAACGCAAAAACCATTGAATTTGAGCACAAAATCGAGACATCAATTAATTTTGGAGTCATTTTGAATGCAAACGTAATTTACAGACAAATGAGTCAACAATTTGTGCTTTAAATTTAAAACCCAACGATTGGCTCAAAATAAACAAAACATTGAATTGTTTTGAAAATTGAATGAAAAGTGAATTACAATGAAATCGTTGAATGAATTTCCCGACGAAATACTGGAGAAGATATTGCGTGGACTCGAGTGGAGGCACCGACTGGTGGCCAGTCGTGTGTGTCGTCGATGGCATTCACTGGTCCTCAACCCGAAGAGCAGCGCATTTCGGTTCGCTATTCGTGTCAATGACAGCGAACTCACTGTACATTTGGATCAAATGGACGAACAGTTAACGAAGAAGTATTCAGAAGTAATGAAGAAAACAATGGCCAGAGATGTGTATGAAAATGGTTTGAATGACTTGTCCAACAGTTTTACCACTGTTTCGCACCTTTTGCTGCAAAACATTGATCTCAATGAACCCATATTTACCGATCAATGGACTCGTTTGGGATCCACTGTCACGTGTCTTGAGATGGTTGACTGTGGCGTAACTGAAATGGTTTTATTCCATATCCTCTCTCGGATTAGCTCTTTAGCCGAATTACATCTCAATAACAATTGCTATTTAATGAGAGAGCAATTGAGAATTACCAGTCCATCGATACCCAGTGTTGACCACAGTTTGTCTCAACTCAAAGTCTTGGACTTAAGCGGCAAACAATCGTTCAACTTATGCGACACTATGTTTGTACGGCTCTTCACTCACTGCCATTCCCTCGAAGAGCTCAATGTCTCCAAATGTCGGATCAAATTTCACTTTCAGATCATTAGACGATATTATGGCAACGATTGGGTCGACCACTGGTCTACTCCCACTAATTATGCGTTCACTTTCGCTCTAATTAGCGATTTTATCCAAAAATTCGGTTCACATCTCAAGAGACTAAACTTCAGCGATACTGATATATGTAGTCAACACTTAATACAATTATTAAATTGTAATCAATTGATTGAATTAAAAGAAATTCATTTAAAGGATTGCATTAATATTA